CCCGGAATGTTCCGTAGTGCAGGGCGCCCCCTTAGTGCGCGTGACTCCCGGCATGGCTGATGCGTTTCTGCCGGCTCCTAATGGCACTGATTTTTCAGCCCGTTGGCATTAGCGCCTTGGCTGGGCAGTGGCTGCTGTCACTGCATCTGCTGGGGATGCATTTTGCTGGGGATGCATTTTGCTGGGGATGCATTTTGCTGGGGAATTCAGCTCTGCCCTGGTGCCTGGGAAGGAGCTGAGAAGGAGGAGGAGGGAGACGGGGGGTGGAGACGGAGTGGGGGGGGAATTATAAACTCCTGCCCTGCTGGATGTTAACCTGGGATCATTAAATGCAGGGGCAGGGGGGATAAATAAATAAGCCAATGAAAAATGATAATAAACAGGTGTGTGGGGGGGGGGCTTCAAATGGCATCCCAGGCTAGTGGCTTACTCAGCGCTTTCCCTGGCAACGCAGCGCTAATCGATAGCTACAAATTTTTTTTTTTAAACACGGCAACCCGCAGGGCACCCAGGGACTGAGGGCAGGGGCCCACATGTGGCTGGGGGGGTGGGGGGTGAAGAAAGAAGCAGGGGAAGCTTTAAGCGATGCTGAGGCGGCGGCGCGGCCCCATACTGCCACACACCAGCATACGAGAACGCTCCATGCATTATTAAATGTGGCTGTGTTACAGCATTTGCGGGGTCCCAGGTAAGAAATGTTCCAGAAGGTTCCGGACCAGTCGTGTATAAGCCGGGCTGCTACAGAGGGCATCTAACGGCGAGCTTATGGGACTCCTGGGATTCAACTGGGAACGTCGTTAGCAGCGTTTCAGTGTCTATGCCTGCAATTAAAGGCAGCTGCCGACTGGGGCACACGCGTGTGCATGTCTGCCTGCGTGTGCGTGTGCATGAATATGTAGCCACACCGTGTACGGTGGACCCTAATGTGCCAGCTGGCCTAGGGATGCAGTGGAGCCTCCCCAGCTAACAAAGCAAGAGCCTTCAGCTCAATTTTACAGCCTCCCACCACTAGAGGCAGCGAACAGGTGCAGCCTTCAGCTCCATGTCTTGTCCTGGTCGGTGAGCTGTGGGATCGATGCCCCTGGCCAGCACCTCTGAGGTTTGACCTCCTGGAAGAGCAGGAGCTCAGCTTGGTTCCTGCGGCCAAAGTGGCAGCTGGAGTGGCTTATGAGGACTTACAGGAAGTCTGCCTCCCCCCCCGGCAGGGACTCTGAACCTAGCGTGAGCATGCTCACGTAAATCGGTGGCTCTGAGTGTCTCGTGTGGTCAGTTCCAGGTCTGTCAGGGGTACCTTAAACTGTTGATCAAGGTGCCGTCCGTCTCCCTCACCTCGACGGCTCCACACCCCCCCCCCACACCGTCCACCATGTCCCCTCCCCGCTCTCCCCCCAAACAAGCAGCGATTTTGTGTCTTTTCTTGGGCTGCAGACAGTAGAAGGCAGGCCCCCGATCACGCCTCCTTGGCTCTGTGCCTCATCTGTGTCCATGCCTCCTTGTCTCCCTGCCTCGGCGCCTCGCCAACTCTGAGCCTCCCCGGCTACGCTTCATCTCGGCTCCGTGCCTCCCCAGCTCACGCCTTTATGTCTCCCTGGCTTGGCATATCCCCGGCTCCGCACCTACTGGTCTCCCTATTGCAACTCCTCTTTGTCTTCCTGGTTCGGTGCCTCCCCAGCTCTGCCCATCCCCAGATCAGTGCCTCCTCAGCTCCGCATCTCCCCGGTTCCACACCTCTTTAGTTCCCTGGCTTGGCACCTCCTTGGCTCCCTGGTGCCGCTCCTCCTCATCTCCCTAACTCGGCACCTCCCCAGCTCTGCGCCTCCTCATCTCCTGGGCTTCGTGCTTCCCCGGCTCCACGCTTTCTCGTCTCCCTGGCTCAGGGCCTCCTCGGCTCTGCGCCTCCCCAGCCCACGCTTGTTTCGAGTTCGGAGGGCGCCCTCATTATGACGGGACGGCCGCCATGTGTGCGTTCTGCCTCCTTAAAGCTGTGCGGCGTCTTCAATAATTAATGAGGCTCCGCTTGGATCAAAAAGAGACTCCTTCTGTTATTGTGTGAATCCTGGAACATCTCCTCCCTTTCTCTCATTGTTCTCTCTCTGTCTCTCTCTTTCTTTCTCTCTCTATCCATCTCTCTATCTAGCGGGACCTCTGTTTGTGTTACACTCACACGTCCAGCTCTACTCTTCATCTTGGCCTGATCAATGTGTTTTTCTCCAGATTAATGGTCCCACAGAAAGTGCTCTGAGGGTGAACAGACCTACACAGTGAATCCCCGTGCCCCCCCCCCCCCCCAATCAGGGTGACGCATGTGCCCCCCGGCCTTATCTCCCTGTGTCGTGCCCCCCACCTCTCTCCAGTCTTTAAGTTATTGTATATAACCCCTCCTTTCTGTTTTATCAGAGCCCTTCAAGACTCTCTCTCCTTCTCTGTCTCACTTATTCTCTCTCTCTCTCTCTCTCTCTCTCTCTCACACACACACACTCTCTTATGCTTTCTGTCCATTTCTTTGTCTTCACTCACTTTGGGTCACTTCTGCTTGTTGTTCACAAACGTGTGACCAAGCTAGTTTCCTTACTTACCTGGGGTGGGGGGGGGGTATGGCCATTTTGCTGTTTTCTGGGGTTGGGGGGGGGGGGGGGGCGGTCTGGCCGTTTTGCGGTTCTCCGGGGTGGTTGGTATGGCTGTTTTGCTGTTCTCCGGGGTTTGGGGTGGGGGGTTTGGTATGGCTGTTTTGCTGTTCTCCGGGGTTCGCGGCTTGAAAGTCCCATCTTTGGACTGCAGTGCATCAGGAAATCACTGTGTCCCGTCCAGGTCTGTGTCCCGTCCAGGTCTGTGTCCCGTCCAGGTCTGTGTCCCATCCAGGTCCCTGCCTCAAAGTCCCCGTGTCCTGCTCCTTGTCTTCCTCCAGCCACCACCCAGCCTGTGGCTAAATCCCCCTCACCCTCAACGCCACATCCACCCTGTCCCCCAATCAGAGAGCAGCTTCTTGCTCCGTTTCCTGTCCTTTGTGTCGCTCCGTAATGCACTTCCTGTATTGTGTAAATTGAAGTGGGAATGAAACAGCCTCGTGTGGCAACACTTATTAACAGGCTATTTAATTTTTTTTTTACATCTGGGGTACATTGGAATAAAGTTCTTGATGTGTGGATGCTGCATGCTGTAAAACAGTGAAAAAATAACAAATATATGTAACCAGTCCTAATTAGACATCTTCACAACAGAGACCTATTTGGGACACAGCTCGGCCCTGAGCACTTCCCCTCCCCCGCTTCCTGTCTCGCGTGTTCTCACTTCCTTCTGCCCCCCCACCCCCAGCAGCCCAGTGCAGTGGTGCTCTATTCTCGCAGAGCTATTAGAGATTGCTTGTTTATTGGAAATCAAAGGGGATTTGGACGCTAAGCTTCCTCCATCTGGGATTAGACGCATCAAAGGTCACGACGTGTTATACAAGAGCGCCGTGGCCCACTCCTGGTCATCAGCTAATTAGGCCTGGCCATATAGAGCACGGTGGGGGGGCACTTTGCAGTGGGGGGGTTGAGGCAGAGGACAGTCCCTGAGATGTTGGTCTCGAGTCTGGATTTCAGGGAGAGGCACTGGTCTGCCACAGCTGTCCATCCGGGCTCTGTCCAGTTGTCCACCCGGGCTCTGTCCAGCTGTCCATC